CGCGCGTGTGTGTGTGTGTGTGTGTGTGTGTGTGTGTGTGTGTGTGTGTGTGTGTGTGTGTGTGTGTGCGCGCGCGCGCGCGCGCGCGCGTTTTTTTTCCGTTGCACGATTATGAATCATAGATATGAATCGTACGCGCTTGTTTGGCCGGCCTAGGGGAGCTTTCGCGAATATGTGCGAATAAATGTGAGAGAGAGCGTTCGAAGTCTCGAATCCAATGACGGCTCCAATGGCCTCCCTCGGCGATAGGATGTCATGACGACTACGGCAAGGTCGATGATAAATTCGCGATCGATGTGTTTTAAGTGTACTAATCGAACTGTGTACCGAGACGAATGATTTGTATATATACAATTACTATTATAATCTATTGAAGCAAGAAGATTATGACAAACATGTGCAAGTGTGCTTGAGAAGAAGCGAAAAAGAGAAAGCGAGAATGAAAAAATGAGAGAGAGAGAGAGAGAGAAAGAGAAAGATTAGATAAAGTGTCCGATAAAGTTGCGAAAAGAGCGACAACAAATAATAAATACTGTAAAACTGTCTTTGTGTACTATATGACAAAAAAAACGACAACAACCATACCTTATATAGTTGAAGCGTTTTGATTAATGCGCGCGCAAGAGAGAGAAAGAGAGAGAAACAGAGAGAAAGAGTGGAAAGATGTGGTCCGTTCGACACAAAAGGTGTATAGCCCTGTTTCTCGATTACTTTGCATTTGTACTTCGTTCCGTCTTGGCGGGAAAGCGTTGGGGAATATAATCGGTAGTCGAACGATGAGAATGAGTTGACCCATATACATCCGCAAGTTTCTTTTCCTTTTTTTTTTCTCCCCAGACTCCGCTCGAAGTAATCGAAAGTCAAAGTCATCATTTCGAGTAGTCCTCTTTCTGCCCTCAAAATTCAGTACATTTTAGTTATTTCTACCGACGAAAGGTGATAATCTGAGAAAAAAAATTCTTTCTGAATCAGTTCCTAATAATCTTAATTATCTATTCTAATTTGTGACGAAGCATTTATTTGGTTATTCTATGCTAATATTACTCGCGATGTCGCTTGCACAGCAAACCTCTTGCGATCGGCGCGAGATGTTACGCACGATGTACATGGGTTAATTTCTGTGTTGCACTGCGGAGTGCATCTTTCTTTCGTTGTGTCTCGCTTTTGCTGATCTACGTAAAACACTAAAGTGTTGACGTATATTATTAAAAAATGTGTATATATATATACAGAATTATCAATATTGGATCGACAGTTTTTTCGTTTTAGATAAAAAAAAATATATTATACTATATATCTATATACATATACTACATTTTTATCTAAAAACGACAAAGCATCCAATTTTGATAATTTTGACAAAGATTGGCAATGTATATGTACAATTGCTCTTTTGATAATTAAGCAATTACTTTATCACGTTTACAACAAGAAAAAAGTGAGAGCGTGAGGCAGCGGAAGAACTCTCTGCTTGTTAATCTATAATAATTTGCGAAATTAATGTAAATTAAAGGCTGGCGACGTTAACGTTGCTAGAGAGAAAGATTGCGTTGTTAGGAAATTTGATCTTTTCGCGTTATTCCGGCTGAAAGCGTATATAATTAAGACGAGCAAGGAATGTCTGGTGAGATAAACGGAACGCAATATTATTACTCGTTTAAGTTTTACCCGGTGCGAAGCCGGGTTAATAGTGATTACGAGTAAAATGCGTTTTGGCGGTAGCGAATTCGTTATCTCGATGCGAACATGCGAATTTGCTTTTAGAAATATGTCGGGCATCCGTATCCGTTCAAACGTGTCTCGCAATTAAATAAAATACGAGAGTTATACGTTTTAATTAACCTCGTTTTACATCCAGCACTTGGTTCGTATCAATATTCCAGTTACGCAGTACGCAGCAAGGTGTCCCGAAAAGTATCTTTGACAAAATTTCGCGTATGGTCTTTAAACGTTTAAGTTTTATTTATTAGAAAAATCATGATTTTTTAAATTTACAGATTTAAAGATCGGTGATACTATGTCATATTCTTAAAATCAAAGATGATGGAAATAGAAAGAACCAATAATTATTGCAGTTTACATTCACGTAGGTTGAATCATTGTTAATTTCATAAGTTTGATAAAAGCTTTATTTTTTTGAAGTGTGATATTGCGAAATATAAATAGAAACTTCACTATAAATCTATTTATATATAATTCTGAACATCGTGCCTAACAATAAGTTATATAAGTTATACAAGATACTGTGTTTATTTTTATTTTTTTGTTTCTTCTTTGTTTCATTAAGTTAGCATTAAAAATTGTACCATCGTTTATAAAACGTTTTGAAAATCTGCTCAATCGAGCGAAAACGGTTCTGTTGATGAAAAAATACGTGAATGTAAATTACAGTCACTTTTCATTTTTCTTGCTTATTAATATTTGAATTCCAATACGTAAGTGCATCAATTTGAGCAAGTACAATTGTTTATAACTACACATTCGATTAAACTTTTAATGTCAACTGCGCGATAGATGATAAATACCTTTTTCGGACACCTCGTAAATTTTTGAGACACATCTCGATATATGTTGAAAAATGTGGAAGCTGCGGATGAATTCAGGCGCAATTCAATTTGCATTTGTTTCATTCAGCATATTCTCAGTTTCATCCACCGCATTACGTTCTCCGTAGGAGCAAATTAGGAGCCGAAAGAAAAGCGTTCACGTTCTTTAGATCGAACGCAGCCACGGCAGAGAAGAGCTCGCGAATTGTATAATTATTATACGTACGTGCGTTAGTATTTCGGGGTAGAATATTTTCAAAGATACTTGCGAGAGAAAGAGACACACACATACATGTACACACTCGCACGTGAGTGGTCATCTCGCCCGTTCACGGCTTTCTCTGTCGCCTGTTTGTCGAATCTAGTTGACGATGAAGAAAAGAAGAAACGAAGCATTTTTTTAAATTAAACTGAAACAAACGAAGCTCGCCTGGGTTTTCTGTTATCGATTCTGGTTATCCCGAATCCTTTTTGATCCCGAGCTTTACGTCAATTATGTAAATATATTCTACTGCAATAATCTTTATTAGTTCCTTTATACGCAGCGTATAAAATGTCTCATTTACAACATAGTAATTATTGCGTAATAATTCACAGCGTACAAATTTCATAAACTTCCATAAATTATCGAGTTTTAAGAACAGAGATTAATGTACCCGTGATACGATAGAACGTTTCATTTTCCTTTCTTAAAGCAGATAATTCTGAATTTTTGCTTATCCAGCTAAGAAACCGCCATCGATAGGTAAGCAGGCGCCATTGATCATGGAACTTCGGTCGCTCAATAAAAATATGACGGGATCCACTACGTCCTCGACATCTACAACACAATTCGAACCGATAATCGGCTGCTTTCACTGATGAACTGACGTTCGTAAAAAAATAATACTAAATGCAATAGTATGAATTTCTTTAAACAAACGAAAAAAATAAGCAAAATGAGTTCCTAAAATAAACTAATAGTAATTCATATAAAGATGTTAGAATAACTTGCTTATGATCTCAATATATACGGATATATAAATATTATATCTTAATATTCATTATTTGCATTTTTTAGACACATTGTAAAAAAAAAAATGCTATATAACCACATATGACTATTTTAAAGAAACAGGCAAGAAGAAAAAGTACAGCAACTAAGCAATAACGGAGTTTGAAATGTACGTATTGCAATCAAAATCCGATTTAACTAGTGAAAATTAAATATAACAAGGCTCTTTCGTCTGGTTATAAATATTAGAGGAAAAGATGATAATGGCTCTGTTTCGATTTTTTGTTTTGTAAAATTCATTTTTAGTTGTATTCAAATCTTTATAATATTACAAACGACAATTTCAAACATCAACAAAATTACATTTAATTATACCCTAGCGTAGTTATTCAAGCAAAGTTTAAGCGTAGTTCAAACTTACTTATTTTCTTAAAATAGAACAACCTTGAGAATTAATATAGAGTACAAACTCATTAGTGTGATCTTCAAATCACATTAAACTTGACATCGAATATCATACGATAAACTTTGATGTATCTCATAACAGATGAATGTTGATTGTTAGCAATCGTGACGACAACTATATCACAACTTCATAGGTATAGTTATACCGAGAACAAATTAATCTCTTGCAAGAGGTGACGTTAATTAGAACGTAAGTAGGACACACACATTACCACTTTTTTTCCATATTTTTAATTAGTTAAATCAACAATTAATTGTGTACTAAATTATAAATTTAAGTAGTTAAGATTTAATTTATAAAAGAGTTCTGTTGGAAATTTTGACTAGTGAAATCGGTATTTGATGGATTTCAGAATATCTATAAAATACACGTATCACATTTTGAAAACATAAACAAAGCATTTATTTCGGGTGCTCACGCGCTATAAACTGCATTCTATCTTCCATATATAATGAGCGATGAAGATAAAATCATGCTTGCAGCGCGTGAGCGCCCAAAACGAACGTGGCTAAAGTTGGATTATAAATAAAAATTATATAACTTATAAAATAAAAATTGTATAAGTTCATAAAGATTTATATAAAAAGTTTTTTTATATAAATAAGAAAAAATAAAAATAAGAATTATCGTATTTTGCGCGAAGCGCCAATTAAGATTAAGATTCGATCTCTATTTCATGAATTAAATTTAAATTTGATGACGCTTCATATCATTTGCGATCTTATTAATATTCACGAATTATCTTCCATTGACAAATTTTTTAGACGGATTTATTTGAATATTTATGTCAAAAATAACACGTCAATTGTTAGCTGTCATGTTACCGATTATGATTACCTTATATTCTTTTTACTACCGATCGGTCATAAATGTCAACATGTCAGCACGTTGATATAGAAAACCATTTGGCGAATGATAAAACATTCGTGACGCAGTATTACATAAGTAAATATTATCTCGTCGTGGGACGGTCATGAACTAACGTACGATCTGTTTTAATTCGTCAGACGATCTCTGCGTATTATTTCTAAATTCAATCATCGACAGATTTGTATGTATGTATATTATGGATTACGGATTTAAATTATATATTGCCGTCATAAATTACGAGCGACAGACAAATTGCAAATTAATATTTATAGAGCGCAAGATTTACGAATTTTGAATTATTATTATTATGATACGGATGAAATTTATCTGAAATTTCATTATTCGATGAAAGAGTTAAATCTCTCTCGATTAAAAATACTCATGCTTGTCACGTACCAGCGAACCGACCAAGCGGAATTTTGTTGATCATGCTTTGTGCTTTCTGCGGATCGCTCCAACCCAATTTTCCCATTTCCGTCATCACGACTGTAGGACCGACAGTATTGACTCTTATGTTGTGTGGACCCAATTCGAGGGCCATTGCTCTGAAAATATCACAAGATGCGAAAATCAAGATGTTCCACAGTTTCAAGGACGTTGATGAAATAAAAATCAACTTTTCTTTCAAAATACTAAATGTGATGAATTGAATAACAAAAGACTAAGAATAAAAATTCAGGCTTGAAAGAAACTTGACAGATAAAAAAAGTAATTTATCTTATTTTTCTTTAGCTTATTCTTCATTTCTTTTACTCTTAACAAAATTTTTAGTTGAATTGAACTTTCTAAACTGAAGAACGAGCCAAATTTGTAAATATAGAAACATTTAATTCCTTTCTTTCATATTTTAGTGGTCCCTTCAACAATTCCATTTCTTTCTTTCATATTTTTCCCGATCCCTTCGATATCCCGCGTTTCCACATCTATCCATACATTGATTTACGGCAAATTGCGAACTTCGGTAATTGCCGAACACGCCGGTCAAGTTTCGCTCTTTATGGATCACGGCCATATTAATTATCTTACTTCGACAACATGTCGAGGCCCCCTTTCGACGTGCAATAAACGGCGTGATCCTTCAATGCCGCCTGACCGGCCTGCGACGATATATTGACAATGCTGCCGCCGCTTTTGCGCTCAATCATGCTCTTGGCTACAACCTGGGACACGTTCAATACAGCCTTCACATTGACATCGAAAGTCAGATCGAATTCCTCGGGCGTGACGTCCAAAAAGGGTGTAAGACACGCGACAGCGGCATTGTTGACCAACAGATCGATCGGCAGGATACTTTGAACAGCCTTCCTAGTCGCATCCCAGTCGCGAAGATCAACGCAGACTGGCTGAATCCTCGGATCGTTCGCCACCAAGCTGTCCAAATTCTTTTTCGTTTTCGAAAGCGCGAACACATGTCCCTTATATTTAGAGAGACGGAGAGCTAATTCCCTGCCGATCCCTGCGCATATTTATGACAAGTTTATCACAAAGTAAAATATATCTATTCATATCTGCTGTTATAGCAGTGACACTACTACATTTCAGTAGTGTTTTTACTGCATTAGAAGTTCTTTTTTACGAAGGTTAGCACATAAATAAGATAATGTGAGCGAAGTATGTTTATGCAAATAATTGCGTACATACGTATGTTATATGATAATACTCAATATATCAAATGTATATAGTCAAAAAGTATATACACTCAATATAATACTCAATATATCAAATGTATAGTCAAAAAGTATATACACTCAAATATAATTCTTTATAACTATAATTATAAAGTACTTTTTGACTATATATTTGATATATTGAGCATACCATATAGCACACGTCACGTATGTATGCAATTGTTTGCATAAACATACCTCGCTCACATTATCTTACTTATGTGTCAAGATCAATATCATTATCTTATTTATGTGTCAAGATAATTATAATTTGCATATATGTTAAAATTCACCAAAAACCGATAAACAATTTTTTAAATTTATTTAAATTTTCAGTTACAGTTACTACAAATTACTAAACTATAACGGAATTTTCAGAGACGTGTGACTAAAGCTTTATGCAGTTACTGCTTCTGAAATTTTTATTCCCGTTTCGTAAATTTCAGAAACGGTAACTGCATAAAGCTTTAATCACACGTATCTAAAAATTCCCACAGAAATTTCTAACAGTGTATGTTAATTTATTTTAAAGTATTTTTCCATATACTACATCAACATAATGCAAGTTTCAAGATTTTTTATCTCATATATTGACTTTAATGCGAAGTCGATTGCAGACTCGCAACACAGTATACGTTTAAGAGAGATTGCAGTACTGATTTTTCGATTTTAAGAAGTGCCTTTTGCGAAAAATTAACACAAAAGAGAATTCAAATTTATGAAATTATATGAATTAGAGAGACATACCCTGACCGGCGCCGGTCACGAGAATGCGTTTTCCTTCGAAGCTGATGTTCATGGCTGTCGGTCAATAACTGACTACTGACTCGTCAGCGATATATATCCCACACACGATCTCTGACACGTCAGTTCTCCTCCCTGGTGAACCTTCCGGCGAATACGCATGAGAGTGTAATTTACGAGAGTCAATGAGCTGACAATGAGAGACAGTTAAACACGACCGCGATAAAGAACGCTTCGATAAAGTTATCTATTTTTACTGCATAGCTTAATATCGTTATTTTCCACTGTTTCTTCAATGGAGATAACATCTCTATATATTAGTAATCGAAATATGATAGACAAAATATTTGAATAATTTATCAAAAATTTTCGACTTTAAAAGATCCAGTAAATTTGAAGTTGTAAACTTCAAATAAATGCTGCTCTGCGTAATAAACTGTAATGAAAGAAATATAAAAATAAACAGAATATATTATAAAAATGTATATATTGTAATATTGGCACATTTACGTCTGACATACATTCAAATATTTTTTATAATTTTAGTACAATATATGTAAAAGTATAGAAAAAACATTTTCGCTTCATGCAATGTTCTGCGCGAGCGATGATTTATTCTTATATACCTATAGAAAATCAGTATCAAATCAAAGCTTATATTTACATTCACATAATATCAATATTTGATATTAAGGGAATCTATAAAACTATGGCAACTTCCTTTTCTGTGAAAAGTTATACAATTTATCGTATATAAAAAAGCGTATAAAAGCTATATATACTAGCCTATAGATTATATATATATATATATATACACTATCGCTCAAAAGTACTTTTATAACTCGATTTTTGTATAAATATACCTTTTTTATATGCCTAAGTTCTAATTCTATTCCAATTCTAAATCTCCTCTTTATGCGAAATTTTGCCATCAAACGTTATTATTAAACTTACAAAAGATTAAAAAAGAAGATTGAAGTTCACATTTCTTTATATTAAAGTAAGGAAGAC